AGAAAAAGGCAGACACAGAAGAGTAGGCCCATATGACTGCATTTGCATGAAGTCTGGAAATGTGAGGTAATTTAGGGTGACAGGGTAGATAGTGGTTATTTGAGACTGTGCTATGACTTCAATGTATCTCCCCAAACCAGGTGCTAGGAACATGTTCCCGTGTGACAGTGTCGGGACAAATGGATGAAGATCAATAATAAAAGCCCCGAGTTTGATCTTCTCACTCTGTCTCTACCTCTCTTCCCCTCTCACCGTCCACCACGGGAAGGTCCTTACCGATGCCTGCCCCTGACCTCGAACGTCCCAGCCTCCAGAACTGAGAGATAGAAACTATTTTTGTAATTTACCCAGTCTCTGGTGTTCTTTTGTAACAGCACAAAATGGAGTAAGCCAGGTTGAAAGTGAGAGAAAGGAACGGACAGCAAGGAGGCTAGAGGAGATAGAAATATTCTGTATCTTGATTGTGATGGTGGTTTCATGGGAGCAAAACTCTGTGAATTGTACACTTCAGACCAATGTAATTTATGGTACATAAATTCTGTTTCAATGAAGCTGATTTATAAAAAAACAAAGAAATCAGTAACACAGAGCAATTTTGATTCCGGGTGCTAATAACACCCATTGAGCGGTTGATTGAGTGACATGGCCCTGGTATGTTTCCTGGGCTGTGTTCCCTTTGGGTTTTCTTAGTTCCGTGTGTACAGCCAAGCTTCAACAGACAGTGACATAGGAGGTCTCCAAGGACCCTGCAGAAGGCCCAGCTCAATGTCTGCTGTTCCAAAACACCAGAAACCTTCTAATGCCAGCCTAGCCATATGGTCTGGCCACTGGCGCCTTCTCCATGACCATTAAGTGGGCTTAGGGCTGATGATCTCGGCCTTTATCCGCACAGAATCCAAGCCTCGTGGTTTCAGAGATAAAGTGCTACCTAATTGCTCTGCCCATCAGGAGGCTCTGACCGAGAAAGCTCTGAGTGCACTCTCTGGAGATCAGCGAGCAGAAACCGAGCTCACTGTGTCTAGAAGGTGAAGTGAGACAAATGAATAAAACAGCCTGGTGAGGCCAACTCTGCCCATTCTCCCCCGCCCCCCACACACACTTGCGGAGACCAAATAGCAGCCGTGGACAGGCCCTTCTGCAGGCCATGGACCATCTGGGTGTATACTGCCCTGTCTGGCTCCCTGGGCCACCTCTTCCCCAGTCCTACACCTGTCCCACCTGGCCTTCACTGCACAGCATGGGGACCCACAGACACAAGCCCAAGCCTGCTGGTGCCATGGACAATGGCCATCTCTCAGGTGGGGCTGGCACATGGTGAGAGGACCAAGAGCAGCAGAGGGGACACTAGGCCTGCCAGGGCAGAGCCTTTTAGTAAATCTGTCCTCAGCAGCTTTGGCAAGACTGAGTCTTCCTTGTGCTCCTGGAATTCCTGGATCTCAGCCCAATCTTAAAAACAAGAAAGGAAAGCCCAGTGCCAGCACCTTCCCAGGCTCCCATGTGGGGGTGCACTGCAAGCCCTCTACTGGGCTGGCCCTGTCCCTCCCAGAGCCCCTTCAGCTGCCTGGCAGGACCACCTCCCTCTGGACTTCCTTACAGGGAGCCGAGGCCACCCCCACCCGTCCAGGCTTTCTCGCCCAGTGTCAGTCCAGTACACACACCCAGCCACCCCCAGACCTCTCACGATTTCTCTTGCTTCTAGTGGTCCCAGTCAAGTTGCTTTTGAGCTTTTCCAAGAACTCGTTTTTGAATGTGTTTATTATATCAGTTATTTTTCCCATTCCATGAAATCCATGTTATCCCTGCCTTGGCCTCTGGTTTATTTTGCAGCTAGCTCTGGTCTTCCTGAATCATAGGCTAACACCATCGATGCAGTCTTTTATCAAGGTTTCCTCTGAAAATGCTCCAGCCACCACCCAAGGCCACTCTGTCATCCTCTTTTCCTTCTGCCACCTCCTGTGCCTGGTTGGGGGGCTGGGGCTGGAGCTGGGGGAAGGGAAGCCTGTGTAGGGGTACTGCAGCTTTCCCTGGGTTTAGGGGATGACAGAGAGCCCAGCTCAAGGCCCTCACTTCCTTCCCCACTGCTGTGACAGAGTGAGCGTTGACAGCCAAGACTGACAGAGGCCCTGCTCTCCCCATCCACATCCTGCCTGAGTGACTGGTGACACCTGTCCCACAGGAGGCTCCTGTGGTGAGGACAGAGGCCTCCCCAGGGGACAGAGCACCTGTCTGAGAGGGCAGCCCCTCTAGCGTGGTCCCTGTTCACCCATGGCACCAAGGCCAAGAGGACACTAATACTCTAATTCAGCAGTGGGAGTCACAGAATCACAGGGCATGGGGCCTTAGGGGACTTGTTGAGAACCCACGGTGGCTGTGGCTGGGGTGGAGACTGAATCACAGGTCTGCACCACGATGTCTGTTCGCCTGTCACTCACACGTGTGACATGTTTACGCGTGTATCTGTACTCCTGGAGGTGACACGTGGCTGGTATGTGCAATAGGTAATAATATATGAGTGCACACGCTTGCACGCCATTTGTACGTGCACACACACAGGGCATGCACACACACAACAGCCTGTCTGCAGTCCTGTCTGCATTATTTAAATTCTGCCCTATTTCCCTTTGGTTTCCTGTTTCCTTGGCCTCGAGGAACCGCCCTTCTCTCCTGGTTCCATCTCTTTTGCGGTACACAGTCGAAACGCTGGTGTCAGGTGACATTCAGACAGAGCTTCCTACCGGCTCTGTGCCCTATCCCCTCCTCTGTTCTGAGAAGGTTGTGGCACAGCTTGCATCTTTCTTTTTGAGAGCATTTGCCTAGGACAGGCTCACCATGCTTCAGTCTGTGTGTCACGCTTGTTTGAAAATAGAAGGAACTTGTGTTTCCATCCCAGTGTGAGAAGCACCACTTATGTGTGTGCTAATCGCTGGCGTGTTTTGACCGTCCCTGCTGTTTAATTTCATAGTCACCATTCTGTATTGATATCTCTTATTTCCTTGATTTCATTGCGCCTCCATTTAATTCCTCCGGTGCTTTTAAAGTTATTTCTCTGTGTCTGTCTTCTAGTGCCCACATTAATTCATTAGCAGTACCGGGTTTTGAACTCAGGACCTCACACTTGCTAGGCAGGTGTTCTACCCCTTGAGTCAAACCCCCAGCCCTTTTTGTTTTGGTTATTTTTTGGATAGAGTCTCAAGGTTTTGTCCAGGACTAGCTTGGTACCACAATCCTCCTACCTGTGCCTCCCACACAGTGGGATCACAGGGATACTCTACCATGCCTGGCTTGTTGGTTTGAGATGGGGTCTTGCTAAGGTTTTGCCTGTGCTGGCCTCAGACTCAATCCTCCTGATCTCTACCCCCCCAAAGTAGCTGGGATTACAGATGTGATCCACCACACTCAGCCTTAACCTCCTGTGTTTCTTAATACAGATCTTGCTCCCAGTGCTACATCTGCCCAGCATGTCCCCCTCCTCCCTAGTAAGGCAAGACCGTTACTGCCCTCGAAGCTCACTCCCCACCTCCCAGGTGAGATCCTCTGGGGTTGGAACTCTAGGCTTTTGTTAAATTAAACCTTTTTCTTTTCTCCAATTGTATTGAGGTGTAATTGGCAGATGGGGTTTGTATGAACTTCAGGTGTACAACCTGATGGTTTGATGTACGTGTCCACTGTAGGACAGTCACATTTCGCAGGGAAGCCAGTTAGCACGTCATCGCCCCACACCGGGTTTCCATTTTCTTCTCTCTGTGTGACAAGCACACTGTGATCTACCCTCTTAGCAAATTTCAGGACAGACAGCAAACAGCACTGTTACCTCTAGTCCCAGGCTATGCTTGGTCAGGGGACACAAAATTTTTGCATTAAATTGTTTTTACATTGTCCAAAGACTTAGCTGTGCATTTCAGTGGTTTCTTTTCTTACCATAGTGCTTGGTGTGTGTGTGTGAGTGAGTGTGTGTGCACATGTCTGCGATGTGGACTAAATGTTTGCCCCCCTCCCCATCCCTGTGCTGAAGCCCTGGGCCCCAGTGTGGCTGCATTTGCAGTCGGGGCATCTACAGAAGTAGATAGGTAAAACAAAGCCAGGAGGGTGGGTCCTGGCACCTCAGGATTAGTGTCCTTTTAAGACACTCTCTCGGCATCACCCCCTGAGGAAAGGCCACATGAGGGCACATGAGAAGATGGCCAGGCAGAACCAGAAGAGACCAGCACCAGAAGCTGACGTGCCAACCTCTGCCGCTAGCCTCCAGCCCTGTGAGGACACTCACGGTGCTGGTGAAGCCTCTGCCCTGTGGTGTTTCACTACAGCAGCCTGTGTAGACAAGGCAGTGTGCACCTTGCCTTTTGTTCTTCTGTAATTGGTGTTTGGGAAATTCTTCAGAAAGCACACACGGTGACACACTCTCAGTGTTGTGACAATTTGAAAATGTCTTCATTCTGTGCTCCACTTCAATGCCAGTCTGGCTGGACCTGTGATTACAGAAACTGCTGGTCTCACGCTCCAGGATTGCTGCTCCAGGCCTAGAGCAGGGCTTTGCTGTGTTCTTTTGTTTTGGGGATTTTTAGCCATGAAGATGTATCTTGGATTCCTTTGCACTGATCAACAGACCAGATTTGTCCCGCCATGGTTCCCATGCTTCATTCCACAGTTTGCTCCATGACAGCCGTTGCTCCTGCCCTCAGCACAAGGTCCCTGTGTGCTTCCTTCCCACTCTCCTCTTTTTCTGACAGATGGATTTGCCTCAGTGTCTCAAATCTTTTCATGTTTTGATTCTCTTTTTCTGCTATGCACACAGGAAATCTTGGGCAGGTCCCAATGTAAGTACAAGCATATGACAAAGCACTTGTGAAATTTAAGGAAACCAATATGGTGGGCACACCCCGACCCTTTCCCTCTCTGTTAACCATCCACTGCTATTTTACTTATTTTGGATGTTAACATCTTTTACTCATATGTTTTCTAGTTTGTTTTTTATAATTGTATCTTCTCTAACATTTATGAAGACTTATCGCCGTTTTCTAGAGAGCTCTTTTGGCTTCTACAAAACCAGTTCTGGCTTCGATGCCTCTTTCTGATAGTTTTGGTTTCCTCCAAGGTCTAGTGGTTCTAGGTTATCGAAAGATTCAGTTCAAATTGGTTGGCTGCAGGTTTAGTCAGTATTTCAGGTTAAAATCAGTTGGCTCCTGCCATGACAGTGTACACCAGTGTGTATTCATTTCCCACATATGAACGAGTCTGCAGGCGAGACTCAGCAGGGCCCTGTGCCAGTCCATGAAGTGCCTTTTGCCTCCCCACTCCACCACACCACGCACGGCCCTCGCCTTCATGGCACTGGGTAACCAGGCCAGACCCTGGGCTCTGAAAACAGGGCAGCGACACCCAAAGACCACATAGTGCCAGTGTCCACGGGGGTGTAGACACCATTTGTGGGGCCAGGGAGAGGGTGCGTGGGTGCCAAGTCCCCAGCTTGGGGGGTTCAGGATGGATGCTGGAACCTGAAGACGGGGGTCAGAGGAGAAAGCAAAGTTGGAGCCAGAGGGGCCTGCAGGGCCTCTATGGGAGGTACCCATAGAAGGGACCACAGGATGCCCCCTGCGGGCCACAAGAGAAGTTTAGAGGCCCAATCACAGCCCCAGCCACAGGACATATCAGTAACTTTATTTGTGGAAATGCAGGAAGGCTGGCCAGGAGAGCCTGAGACCTGCTAAGATATGCGGTCTTGGATTTTTACATTGTTCCCTTCCATTCCTTCTGACAGCTTCTGTTTCTGAGTCACTGACTCCAAACCAGGAGGCCCCATGTCCTGACAGAGCTCTGCTGGCTCCAGGGAGGCCTGGAAACAGAGTCCCACCTCTCCGTGCTGCTGTGGGCCCAGAAGGAAGGTCACGTCTGCCTGTGAGAGAAGCCCAGCTTGCCTGGGCTCCTGCCCCACACTGGGGAGCCCAATCCTGATGGTGAGGGCAGTCACCTGGTGCCTTCACCCTGGGCCAGGGTCCTCATAAGGTCACATCTGGATAAAGGAGGCCATCTCAGGGGCAAGGCAGGTCACCTTCCCAAGTCCTCACAGGCATGAACAGGAAGAGGCCACAGAGGACCCCAATTCCCCAGGAAGCTCAGCCTTAGGCAAACACCTCCAGGGGGGGATGTGCCACTCATGATCAAGAAAGGACTGGACCCCACTGAGGGCCAAGGCTGCGAGGGGCTGGGAGAGGAGGCGATGGCTGATGAGGGCCCCGTGGCCCTTCTCCTCCAGGGGTGCCCTGCCTTGATGCTTCCAGTTCAGCAGCTGGTCTGGCCAGCCAACTTGTGGTGACCTTGAGGGGTGGTGGCAGTGCTGGCAGCAGCCCCTCCCTTGCCCAAGATCCAGGGCTGCCTGTGTGTGCCTCTGGCAGCAGGTGTTGGCCTGAGTCCTGTGTGGACTGCCAGGAGAGCAACCCAAATCTTAGACAGGGAAGGGGCAGGGGTGGACGGACTGGTCTCACCTGACCTGAGGAGCTGCCCACGAGAGTCCATGTCAGTAGTGAGCAGCAAACAGAGCAGCTGCTTTCTGGAGGATGGTCTTGTGGTTTGCGTATAGTGGAATGCGTCTGTCCACCACCTGCCATCGCACGGACACCCCAGGGTCACAGGGATGCAGGTGCTGCAAGGACAGATGGCCGTCACTCTTTCCCCATGGGCCATGTCCACCCAAATCTCCAAAATCCTCAACTATAAGGGGCCAGTGGAGCCCCCATGGCCTTATCTCCAGCCCTCACAGGAAGAGGAGCACCTGCTCCAGGTGAGATGGCCCCTGCCCAGGCCAGAGGTCCAAGTGGAGGATGACCTGAGGTCACCTTGTTCAGAAGCCCTTTATCCTACAAGGAAAGCCAGGATTTGGCTGGGTGGAACTTTTCCTCTTGGGTTCTAGATTAAGACTATGAAGAATTGCTCTAAACTCAGGAGACAGACATCCCATAAAAGGAGAATAAGCCAGAGGCAGAGAAAAGGCCTCACCAGCCTCACCCTGGACATCATCCTTGTCCCCACCACCTCCAAAGGACCAGGATCAAGCAGCACCTCGCAGCTGCCTGTCAGTCCCTCAGCACCAGCCTCGAGGTACTCTCTGGCCTCTTTCCGGTGACCTCTGAATGCCTCCCAGACACAACTCTGACCTCAGCAGCCTCCACTCTCTGGTCTTAGCATCTGTGGCCCCAGGAACACAGGAAGACCCCCCCCGCCGACCGGGCAGCCTCTGAGATGTGTCTGAAGTGCACACCCCCAGCCTCCCCCTCTCCAGGAGCCCAGCCGCGTACAGAATTCAGCCTCTTCAGTTCCACATCGTTCTGGTCCGGGAAGTGGATGCTGATAGCCACTGTCTCAATCCAGGCATTGTCCGTGTTCCTCGGGTCGTCCATGTACCCTTTGTACACCTGGGGATGAGCAGGGGTAAGCCAGTGCAGTGAATGTCCCCCTTTGGTCCCCCCACGCAGCCCACCACTTAGGGACTCAGATCCAGAAAGAGAGGCCTCTTGGGACAGGCTCTGAGCATGGTCATCCATCCTGCCCAAGCCCCTGTCTGGCTGTCTCCTGCCCTGTCCAGGCTGCTCAGGGCTGCTCGGCATGGGCCTCTGACTATCTTGAGGTCTCCCAGCCTCCCCATCCCTCTCCCAGCCTCTGGTACAGAGTCCCTCAGACACAGGGCCCTCCTGCTTTGCTGGGCCTCCAGAGGCCTTGGAAAGACTCAGGCTGATGAACCTGAAAACACGGACTCAGAGAGAAGCCAGATAACGAAGGTCACATGCTACAGAGCCCCACTGGGAACAAACGTCCCTGAGACAAAAGGCAGATCGCTGTAGCCAGGCTGGGGGAGGGTCACAGGCTGCAGCTAAGGGGTGTAGGGGTTTGTGGGGGAGTGTAGGGGTTTGGAGGGGGGATTGGGACTAGATGGTATTGGTGACTGCACACTGCAAGTGTGCTAGGTGCCACGGAATTGTTCACTTTAAAAAGGTTGGTCTTATGTTATATGAATTTAACATAGGTTAAAAAAAAAAAAATATATATATATATATATGTATATCTAGAAGGTCTGGTGGAGGGGCTCAAGTAGTAGAGTGGCAGCCTAGTAAGCATGAGGCTCTGAGTTCAAACCCCAGTACTGCCAAAATAAATAAATAAATAAAATAATTTTTAAAGATTACTTTTAAATAGTAAGGAAAGATGGCAGTGTGTCCTGAGACACTGTGCAGGTGAAGTTACAAAATTCCTGGGTTTGCAGATCAAGACTGTCAACGGTCAGCATCTTAAATATGCACTAGAGGGTCATCCACATAAGTCACAGGACCACGGGACGTGCAGTGCACATAGTGTCCTGAAAACAGTGAGGTGAGTTTGCAAACCTGGACCTAAAAATAGGAGCGTCACAGATCGCGAGAAAAAGTAAGTTATAGAAAACGCTCCACACGGCCCCTTTCTGTTAGACGTGAGCACATGACTGTGTGGAGAGAGAGTAGAGGGGTGGAAGCAGGACCCGGTCACCCCTCTGTCATCCCAACATTCTGCAGCCTCAGAACCATGTGTTGTCCAGAGGCCAGTACCCCAGAGATCTCAGGTAAGCAGTAGAACTGGGCTTACCAGTGGGCTTACCAGAACCTCTGTGGGCTCTACCTCCATGGGCCCTACCTCTGTGCCCTGCATCAACAGGTTTTCAAAGGCTGCCCAGAACTCTTGCCGGAGGACCTGCTTCAGCTTCCGTGGCAGCATATCCCCTGGCTCCCGGGATCCCTGAGCAGAGAAGGGGCAAAGGCCAGTCAGCCAGTCATCCATGCCAGATCCCACTTTGGGGCCCATCTCTACTGGCCACCTGCCCAGTGTGGGCATCCAGCCAGCCCAAGGGCAGCCAAAAGTGGGCAAGTGTCTGACAGTCCAGTCATCCCTGAGCTGGAGTGACACTGCCCAGAACCTACTGTCTGCGTCAGCATCCTGGGGCCCTGGCAGCCTGAGCAGGGTGTGTCATGCTAAGGGACAGCTGCTGTAACCCCAAGTACTGGCCTGGAACGCAGCCTCCCACCGCTGTAACTGAAATCTCTCACCATCCTGGCTAGCTGGGCAGCAGGCAGGCAGCTGTTCTGTTTACTGGCATGGACTGGGGCCCCATCTTGGCCTGAATGATCAGCCACTCAGAAAGGCCAGGTGCTATAGCCAAGCCCCTGGCCCTGCAATCCACCTTTCAGTCTGACCACCTTGGGTGGCATCGCCATCCTGTGCCACTTTGGTGACATGTGCCACCCACAGAAGCAGCAGCTGGACCATAGGGATAGAGCTGGGGTCAGAGGAACACAGTGACTTCTTGCTGAGTTGGAGTGAATCACTGAGTCTCAAAGATCAGGGCAGACGCTGTGTGCCATGACTAGGGCCTGGCTGGAATTGGATTCCTGGCAGGAAGAAGCTCTCTGACCCCGCTATAAGGAGGGCCTGAGAGTGGGACAGGACACTCTGGTAGGAAACAGGAGTGATTCAGAGCCCCCTTGGACTCTGAACCTGTGTTAGGCCCCCAGCAGACCACAAGGTTTCTTGGCCCCCGGCCAGGCTTTCAGCCCTGCAACCAGCCAGTGCCCTGAGCTGACATCCTAGCCACTGGGTAATTCTGTCCTGTGTCTAGGGCTCAGCTCAGGTCCCTGGTAAGGAAGGGCAGGTTCATGTCTGGGACATGCCCACTTTGCACAGAGCTCTGCAAGGGGCCCTGGTTCAGCCACCAGCAGAATCCCAGTCTGGGACACAGCAGGTACTCAATTAGTGCTTATACACCAAGGAGAGTCTGAACCTCAGCTGCAAATTGAGGGAGCAATAGGAAGGCCATCCACGGACACAATACAGTGTCCACTCACCTAGCACAGAGTCCACTCACCCAGACAAGATGGGGGCTGGGACTGTCCCTGCCATGAATGTGAGTCCTGTCACCACCCCACTTACTCCTGGCAAGGCCCAGTGCTCCGAGCTGGGGTGCTTCAGCACCAGCACCTCCAACATCTTCTTGATGCTCTTCCTGCAGATGGCCCCATCCTGATTCCTCCGCCACCTGCACAGGGGTCCAGCTTACACCCACACGGTGCCAAGAGGCCATCCCACCCTTCTTGTGCCAAGTAGCAGTCAAGGGCTGGCCTTGCCTGGGGGCAGCGTCAGGCACACTGCCAGCTCACCCGACCCTGTCTTTTAAGGATCCAGTCCCAGGGAAAGAGTGGAAACAGTAGCCACTTAGGGATGGTCCCTCCCCAGCTCCAGAAATGGCTGGAAGGACTAGAGAGGCTCAGAGGTGCTGGGCATCCAATGGCAAATTTTTTCTCAGAAGCGTTTCCACACTCATCCCAGTTTTTATTATCTTTTGACTATGCTGAATATGATTGCTTCATAATCAAATCAAGTTATGCAATCGAATGGAGATTTTTTTCAGCAAAGGCACACGTGCTCTTTGACACAGCTGTCCAGCTGCACAACTCACTGGAAATGCCAGAGTGAAGCCAGCACGGTATTGGGCCCTGTGCGGCCTGAGCTGGGGGCCCCAGGGGCTTCCTCATGGACGCAGTGGGTTGGCACCTGGCCCAGAGGGCAGCCTGGGTCTCAGGGTGGTGAGCTTAGAAGAGCACAAAGGTGTGAGCCCCTTGAGGGTGGGTCCGTGTGGCTGTGCCTACGTGACATGGATGTGAAGTGTGTGTGAGTGTGGGTGTGTGTTAGCGAACAGTGGGATTGTATGTATTTTCATTTTTTTACTTTTTTGTGGTTTCTGCAACTGTAGTAGGGGCCGGGACCCCAAGGTAAATGAGGGCAGCCTCCAGGGAGAGGCAGATGGGTACCTTCTCCAAGACGGGTAGAGCACAGCTCTGTTTCAAAGTGTGTCTGTGTCTGTGTCTGTCCACAGACTCTTCCCCACACACACCCCAGACTGTACCAAATACAGAAGCCATCTCCGAGGCCCTCCGGGGTACATGGGGTGTATCTGGAAAGCCCCTCCCATGAATACATGGGCAACCTCCTCCCTGAGGTACAGATGTCTGGCCAGGAGTGGGGCTTACCTGGTAATCACAGGGTGCAGGGTGTGGTTAGGTCCAAACCACCTGAGGCTCCCGCGTCCACGCAGCCCTGTGCGGCCCATGGGGTTCCTGGGGTACAGAGGGGTTGGCTCAGCCCACCACCCGCCTGAAAGAATCAGGACGGGGCAGGGGTGGGGTGGGGAGAGCAACAGAGCAGGGACACTGACAAGCAGGGCCGGCTCACAGCAATGACAGCAGGACAGCTAGACAGCTCCACCCAGACCTGCCCTGGCTGGGAGGAGAGAAGATCCCTTGGGTGAGGCCAGGGAGAGGCTAGTGTGGGGCCACTTGGCAAGGAGAGGCATCACCTTGGGAGTCCAAGTCCAGCCCCACTGTGGCTGGTGAGGTAGTAAAATGGCCGCCCCTTCTCCACAAAGTGCAGATCATCTCATCGCTGGGGACTGCCCTTGTCTGTGTCCAAAGGCCCTGGGCACACAATAGTGACCTCCCCTAGCAGCCTAGCAACAGGGCAGCCAGAAGCAGCATGGGGTGCAGAGCCAAATGTTCAGAGACCCTGAATCTAGATGTTGTGGCTACAGAAGATAGATCCCCACCCTTGGAGTCAGCCTGGAGGGACCAGGCCATGGACACACAGGCTTGTCCTGTTCTGAGAGCACCCCGTCTCCAGAGCACAGGGTGCTGACCATGGCAGCTGAGGAGCCCCAGGTGCCTCCCCCTGAGCAGGGACCCTCTCCTCACACACCTAGGTCCTATTCTAAGTAAGTTCTAGCACAGTGCTTCACATGAGTCCAGAATTAAACAGGAGAAGACACACACCTGAGCTGCCACAGGACAGGTGTGACCTTCACGTCCAACACCCAGCCCAGCCCTCTGTGCCTTCCGCACCCAGACCCTAGGCCTGCAGCAGACTAATCCCGCCCCTTGTTTTCCTTCACCTTTCCTCAACCTGGCAAAAACTGCCTGTGAACCCAGCTCTGCCTCTCTGAGCAGGTCACCCAACAGTTCCCAGCGGCCTGCTGTGTCACAGTCTGCCTCCCCTCCCTTCCTCTCTCTCAGCTGAGGTCCCCACGTGTTCCCACCACACCTTCTGGCTTGGTTCCCAGCCTGAGGCTGCTGGAGATACCAGATCACTTGGGGAGTGTCCTTGAAGCAGCCAAAGGAACCCCAGTCCCTTCCTCTTCCTCTCTTTTGCTTCCCAGCCACAAAGTGACCAGTCATACTCCATGCACACAGTCCACCACGACATGCAGACTCCCTACAGGCCCCAAAACCACAGGGCCATCTGGCCATGGCTAAAATCTTGCAAACCAGGGGTCACAATGCACCTTTGGTCTTAATGAGTGGATGGTCTCACAGATTTGACAAACAACCACAATACCCTCCTCCCACCCTTAAACAGCCTCCAGCTGCATCAAAGGCTCAAGTGATAAAGTTTTTTAATTTATTAGAAGGAAATACGAAAGTATACCCTCGAGGATGGTGTAGAGAACATAAAGCCTCACTGAACAAACTGCAAAGTTTGTCTGTGTGATTGCAGCTTAGAATCAGTGAGCTTCCAAACTCTGGACTGCAGATAAACAGCTGTCGCCAACACCAAGACACCGTTTATACGGACAGGACTGATAAGGCATGCAATCAACATAGTGTCCACTATGGCTACGCTTATGCTAAGACATGATGACGTCTAGAGCAGCACGCTGGGGTCCCCACTTTTGGGTGTAACCAATCAGCAGAGGACTAAGTGACATCAGAGGCACCTGCTGAGGGCACAGCAGAGTGTGCTCTCCAACATCCTCTGATGCTCACAAGCAATGTATGCTAGCATCAAGGGACTCTCTCCTGCATGGCCTCTCCTTGCCAGAGGGACTCTCTCTCCCAAGTAAGAGAGGCCCCGCCACCATGTGACAACTCTCCCGGACTGAGGGACTGAACTCCCGGTAGTCTCAGCCCAATAACCTGACAGCTGGGAGGGGCCCCCCTGTGGGGCGCTGGCTCTGCCTGCCAATACTCTCAGCCCTAACGAACTGACTGCTTGGTGGGGTTCCCTCCGTGGAGCACAAGCCTTGCCTGCTGTGGTGTCCTGCGAGGTGACCGACTGCATGCAGTGATTCCCTCTTGGACCTTGTAAGCGTTCATTTGAATAAGTGCTGTTGCATTGACACAAGTGTCTGTGTGGTCTCTGAGGGACATTGCTGAGGTTTCATAACCTCTACCCTAAGTCTGCCTTGGGCCATACCCAGTAGAGATGCTCACGGGTTCAGGACATCACTAACTCTCCCTAGAGGGGAGAAGGACAAAGTCCTGTTCAAGACAGTTGGTATGGTTTGAAGATGGTAAGTCCCCTCCAAAACCCATGTTGAAGTTTAATCTCCATTATGAGACAGGGATGGGAGCAGGTGGGACCCATAAGCGGCCTTAGAGATTTGCCCTCAGGAACGATCTTCTCATGTGATGAATGGATATCCTGACAGGGCGTCTGCGATAAAAGCCAGCTTAGCCAGACCTCTCTCACACTCCCTGTCCTTGTCTTGTGATGTCCCACACTGCCTGAGGCCTCTGCCAGCAAGAAGGCATCAACAGATGCCAGCCCTTGACCTTGAACCAGAACCATGAGCCAAAATCAACCTCTTTTCTTGATAACCAAGTCAGCCTGCAGCGTTTTATCATGAGCAACACAAATCCGACTATCACTGATTTCATAGCATCCTAGAAAGTCCTTCCTGACTCACCTTCCTGTTTCTGCATGATGTGTGCAAGGAGGAACTTGTGCCCTGTCCCCACAGCAGGGCACCTGCTCTCTTTCACCACTCATCCCACAACCAGACACACCTTTCTAAGCAGCAAGCTATACGGTGTGTCCTATCCAGTGTGGCCTCATCACCAGAGACCTGGTCATGGTCTCTGCTTCGTGTCCACCTGTCCCCTGCCTCCACCGTTCATAAGCTCAGGCTCCAGGAACAGTGACCCACTTCCTGTTCCAGGACATTCTCCAAGAAGCCTGCCACTGCCTCCCTCTTCATTCAGGCCCCTGGGCTCCCCTTGCTGCCCACATCCCAGACTGGCACATGGCTGGTGTTCACAGGTCACCTGGCATCTTCGTGCTAGGTTTCTCACTGGTACCTGGGTGAAGTGCCCATCTTAGATGGTTCAAGGTCACCATCCCTTCCACGTAGGCCCACCGGCCACCCGCCCCGAGGGCAGGGCACTGTCCTCACATGAGACACATGGTTCTCACTTTTCCACCGACAAGGTCAGTCCCCAAGGGTCATCGGGGGCAGATCCACCACCTCCCCCAGGTGCCTTCTCAGGTGGGATGCAGTGTGGTCCCAAGCGGGGAGGCCAAGGAATGGCTGCAAGTTGAGGTTTCCTTTCCCTCGAAAGATATCCATTTTGCCCAGAGAGAAACTCACTTCCAGAAGCAAAGCTCAAAGGCCAGGCCAAGGGGAGGGAAGGCACACTCACAGGGGGAGTCCATCCTGGACCTCATAGACCCCATGAAAGCTGCGGCGGTCTGTCAGTCCATCCAGGATGTTGTAATGGGTCTTCGTCAGCGGTTCTGGAGTGCTGGGAGCAAAGGAGGGGACATGTCCTATGAGAGGGAGGTGGAAGCAGAGCAGATAGGCAGGAGGACATGCACTTGGCCTCGTACCAATGGCTCACAGTGACCACAGGCCTCAGCCTGGAGAGGAGCCCCTGGCCACAAGCTGCATCCATTCTCCGGGAGAAGCTGTGCCCACAGGCCTCTCCCTGGACCTGCCCCCAGGTAGATTCCAGGTCCCCTTGTGAGGACGTGCTGGGGAGGGTCACTCACTCTCCCACAGGGTCCATGAGTACGACATCCTTCCTCTCTGCCGTGTGGAAGGGGGGGTCGTAGATCAGAAACTCCACCTGCAGCAGGGTGGTGAGTGGGTGTCCTCAGTGTCAACCCTAGTGCAGGCTGGACCTGAGCAGTTCACAGCCAAGGCCACGGCCCAGCCAGGCCTGAAATCTCCCCACGGTGCATGGGCAGCTCCAAGCTGGGTGGAGCTGAGGAAAGGATGCCACCCAGCTACGCAGGCTGGACATCCAACACAGGGGACCAGCCCTGGCCTGTCTGCTGACCAGGATGGCTGCCTGAGCAGGGGGAGTCTTCCCAGATAGGGACAGGCTAGATGGGACCCTTGAGGCAAGAAGGATTCCATGCAACAGAGAATGGGGAGAAGGGAGCAGCAGCCTGGAATGTTCCAGAAAGTCCAAGAGAAGGAGGGCAGGGGTTAGCCTTGCCCAATACCACTATGCACTTTTTTTTTTTTTCTTTTTGGTGGTACTGGGGATTGAACTCAGGGTCTTAACCTGAGCCGTTCCACCAGCCCTTTTTCGTGATGGGTTTTTTCGAGACAGGATCTCACAGAACTGTTTTTCCAGGCTGGCTTTGAACCGTGATCCTCCCGATCTCTGCCTCCTGAGTAGCTAGGATTACAGGCGTGAGCCACCAGCACCTGACCCACTCTGCATTTTTTTGTCTCTTTCTCTCTCCTTCATGCCTGGCACTCAGAAAGCAGGTAGTGGATGCTCACTGGAGACAGAGGGGTTTAGGACAAGGGGAGATGTAGGAGGTGACAAGAACAGGATGGCTGAGACAGATGACAAGTCACAGAAGCAACACTGGGCCACGAGCCCTGTGTGGGGTCAGAGTGCTCGCCAGGCTCCCTTTGCCCCTACAGTTTGGCTCATGTGACTCAACCTCTGGGTGCCTCAAAAAAGGACCATGAGACACTGAGCCCCGGGAGGCTGCAGCAGGTGGGGGCCGTGATGATTACTGGAGGGGTAGGGGGCAAGACCTCTTCCTCCCCCCCACAGCCTAGCTTCCTCTGCCCTGGGCACACAGGTGGGGCAGGCACTCACCTCCCAGGGCACCTTCTCGTTGGGCACGGGGAAACGCGTGACAGGGGAGGTGGGGTAGAGGAGGTGCCGGGCATTCACGTGGTAGCCATCGCCCGGCTCCTCCACCTTCCTCCTGGCACCCAACTCGGCATCTGTCTCATCACAGGCCTTTTGGGGTGCTGAGAACAGACGCACAAGACACGGTGCAAAGTTGAGCTCGGGCTCAGGCACCTGCCTATAGGACAGAGGCTCCCTTCTGGTCCCTCATCCTGGTGGTTTCTATCTCCAGGGCCTAAATAGCCGAGCAGGCAAACACCAACCCCAAATGGGTACCCTTCCCTTGGGGAGGACAGAGACAGAGTCAGGGCAGTGTCCCCTGCAGGCACATGTAGAGAGCTCAGTAATTAGCTTATTTCACAGGCTGCTACAAAGGCCTAGCCAAGTAATGGGGACAAGTTTGCCCTCTGGGGACCAGCCACATCCAAGGAAGGCCACTCTGTCTGTTTCTCAGCCAGCTGAAAATGTAGGAAAACGGACATTGTCTCATTGTCAATGTGATGCCCTGACATCTGGCGCTGCCCACTCCTCCCTCACTCCACCCCCACTTTGTAGTGACATGTTTAGGAGGAGGCCAGGGGTAGCAGGCCACGATGCTTCTCTGGGAGTCCAGCAACCTGGTCAAGTCAGGAGTACAGGCTGAGTCTGGGCACTTGCAGGGGTGGGACTGGCTCAGCTCCCATGGGGGCGGACAGGCTCATACAGAGAAGCAGCTAAAGCCTTCTTTCACCAAGACCCCTGTAGCTGCCTCTTCTATCAGCCCCCGCCAGACTCAAAAACACACAGGATGGTGGAAATCAGGGGCTGGTATAGCCACTCACTCACCCAGAGTGGGCATGCCTGCCTCTGAGCCAAAGCCACTGTCCTTCAGGGTTGTCACAATCCAGTGCAAAGCTTTGGCTGTCTGGGCCACCTGGAAGGCATGTCCCAAGAAAGATTTGGTTGGCACCTGCTGTCCACGTATCATGTACCCTCTTGTCCCTCCCCACCCAGATGGTGAGGCTGGTAGCTTGGTGGGGTGGCCTTGGTCCCAGGTGACCAAGCACCCCGGCTTCCCTTCCTCCAACTCTCAGCATTCTGTGCCCTTTGAAAGTTAAAAGCAAGCCTGGTCCCCAGCTCCCCTGGCAGCTTCCAAACCACCAGGCCACTAGAGGGAGCCCTCTGCTTCCCTTAGAGGGTTGGCTGCTGACCCCAGCAGGGTTTGACAGTGCCACCTGCTATGAGACACAATGATCACGGGGACTGGACACTGAGACAACTGGACAAACCAGAACCATGGGGGTGGGAGGTGTGCCATGAAATGAAGACGCCCACTTGGTTTGGTTACCCTGCCCCAAGGAACTTCTCCAGAGACCAACGTGCACAGGGGTTACTGGCAGCTGTCTGTGTCTAATATGGCCTGGGAAAATGGCTCAGTAGGCATTGCACCTATGTCAGGGGACATCAACGAGACAAAGGTCCTACAGAGGACCACTGAGAGAGGGCAGCCTGCACGGACCCTGGGCATGGTTGGTGGATCTGGCTGATGGTGGACGCCCACCAGCATGGGCCAAGCTGGAGGGGGAACAGCAATGGGAAACTAGGAAGGGGTCTTGCACTGGCCATCTGGGCTGTTGTGGGCAGCGGGGCCATGGCTGGAAGCACTGGTCCTGGGGCCTACCGGTGGGCACAGAAGCTGAAGAATGCTCAGTGTCCAGTGGACCAGGGGACAAGGCGGACCATGCCCCTCAATGGTGAGGACAAGAGCACAGGTGGGACTCTTTCAATGTCCTTGAGGCCCACAGCACTGCCTGTCACATTTAAGAAGAGTCCCGAGGCAGCAGCTGTTTCAGAGGCAGCCTCCAAGGAGGCCAGGAGCAGGGAAGGAGCAGTTTGCTCCTCAGGACCACACAGGAACATGATTCTCACATGAAGGCAGCACAAAGCTCAGCTGCAAACATGGAATTTTCTAGAGGATAAAGAAGGTGCCACTTGCACTAGGAATGACTTCCCTCAGCTCCCCAACCCCTTCTCTGGATGACACCACACTGCAGAGAGACCCACCAGTCCCCAGCCTCCAACCTACCTGCTCCTCCAGAGAGGCCAGTCTCTGCTCCATGGAGCCCGACCTCTTCACACGGTCCATGTCCAACAGGTCCACCATGGCATCCACTCTGAAAGAGGACACGACTGAGCCAGGCTTTGGGGGCCCTGGCATGTCACTTGCAGACAGCCCTACAGATCCAGCAGCCTAGGCTCTGCAGTCTGTCAGCTTTCATTCCAGTCTTCTTCCTCTTAACTTGAAAATATTTCTAACATACATTTCCGTGACAGAATGAAACTGCCTAGTGTCCCAAAGGGGAAGGTGCCCCCACAGATAGATGACCTGGCTCATGTGGCTGGCCTGACAGTCCATCAGAGGGGCTGGGGGAGAAGAGTGAACAGCCCTGAGCCAGCTCACCTTGATTTGCCCGCAGGCTGCCAGGCCACATGCTCTGAACCCTGTCACTAATGACAAAGCTTCTCTGGGAAAAGCTGGATTGCTGTATTTATGTTTTGGGGGGCTCTGAGGAAGGGTATAGGGGAGAATAGTGTTGTTTTTTGGGAATATTTGGCCCTACTTTGCTGAAATGGGCATTTCTCCTCACCTTGGGCTGCTGTGTTTATAGCTAAAACAACTCTGTGGCCAACACCCATCCAGAGCTTCATCTGATTTTACCCAGGGTTCCTTTCCTTTCTTTAATCTACAGAGGTTATATTCTGTAAGTATATTCCTTTGGGATGAAGTGAGAGACCATTTTCATAACCAATAAACGTTACTGCGGATGTGACCCACTTTAAACAGTCATCAGGGGAAGGGAAGGAAATTATTTCACTGAGGGCCTGGGAGTTTACTTCCCACGCAAGACATTGCTTAATCCCACAAAAGCCACGCCGGTGCCCCCGCCTTGTTTTCCCAGGCAGCCTGTGCAATTATTGGCACATCTTTGAGCCCCTGTGATTCAATCACTGTGAGACGTGGGAAGTGTCTAGATTTGCAGACAGAGCTTGTCAGAGATCCCCCTCCAGCTCTGTTCTGTGGACAAAGAGCTGGACCAGCCATGAACTCTTGGTCCCTCAAGAAAAGGTGACTAGCCAGGGCCTGGTGCCCTGAGTTTTGCAAGATCTCGTGGCCTAAAGCACACAGATTGTTGTTAAATACTGCTAGATATGTAAACCAGAGCTTCTAAAATGTGAGTGATATTTTGGCACTCAGTTACCCTTCCCACTAAAACATTTTCTAGGAACCATCTTGGTAAAATTATATCTTAAACTTCAGCCTCAGGAAATTATTGGAGGAGCCTGGCTTCCTCTGAGCGCCAGGCTGTAACTGGGCATCAGGTCAATTCTGTGCATCCTGCAGCCTCAAGAAACCTGGGGTGAGGGAGCTGAGTGGGCTTTTGGGGCTGATTTCTTTGAGGCCAGCCTAGTTCCTTTAAGCAGAGCACTGCTAAGTTGCTGGCATTCAAATCCAGGCTGCACTGTTCACCAGCAGCGAGCCCTAGGCTACCTAAGTCTCTCCCCTTCCTGGGTTCCCTGTATCCTTGATGGTAAAGATGGAGTAAACACTACCCCCAAGAGGGTTGAACAAGAGGATGCAGGGGAAGTGCTCAGCCCACAGCAAGCCCTTAATAGTGTAGCCATCAAAACCCTCATGCTGACTGTACTGGTCATCAGCTGTACTGAGTACAGCTCTGGGGATCATCCAGGTGGTGGAGCATCCTGACGTGCAGAGGCCCCTTTCAGAAGCACCTGGGCCCTGAGCACGACCACTATTCAACGTCAAATGACACTAGACAAAGCCATTGAGACCATTCTTGGCCAGAACAGGTCACAGGAAGTGCTCCTGTGTTTTCTGGACCTCAGGTACCTCTTCTTTAACTCATGCTCAGAGTAGAATGTCAGGGATAAGCAGGCCTAGAGACCACCTGCCCAGCCTAATGTGAGCCTGCCAGACAGGGAACCAGCAGCAGCTACAGAACTGCACAGAATTTACTGAATGTCTCCCAGACTCTGGGTCTAAGATTCCCCACGATTCTATGGGGAACCTGTGGGATTCTGTACTTGCCTTCATGACTCTCACATCTCCATGGAGGGAGCAAATGGACATTAATCCAATCCACCAATCAACAAACCCACCAACCAATAAGCTTACCAACAAACCCACCAACCAACAAATCTACCAACAAATCCCACAAAACAAACTCACCAACCAACCAACAAACCTACCGATAAACTAACCAGTCAGCCCACCAACGAACCCCCAACAAGTCAACCAGCTAACCTTCAGAATTTTAAAAAGGTAGGCTTTAGGAACAAGGTAGATGAAGGCAGGGAAGATCCTGTACTGAAGGAGCACCTGAGTAAAGGGAGGCAGCAAGTCCTGCCCCTCTCTGAGAGAAGACTCTCCCAAGCAGAGAGCACGCAAGGGCTACACTGGATGTCACTGTGCCCAGAACCAAACAGGGCATCTGTGTTTAGCTCTCCCAGAATAGGAGGCCAAAGTGGCTTTGACATCAGCTAGCTCATCCAGATCCTTCCTATTGTTGCCGCCACCATCACTGTCACCATTACCACTATCAACAAGGAGCCCTGATAACAGCATCCCGCCCCAAGAAGACCTCCACCACAATAACTGGATCACTCCAGAAACCACACATCACCTCCACCATCTTAACCATCACCACCTTCCATTCCACATCATCACCTCCACTATCAATAACATCACCTCCACCATCCCCAACATCATCACCTCCACCATCAATAACCATCACCTCCACCATCCCCAACATCACCTCCACCATCATTAACCATCACCACCACCATCTCCAACATCATCACCTCCACCATCAATAACCATCACCTCCACCATCCCCAACATCACCTCCACCATCATTAACCATCACCTCCACCATCCCCAACATCACCTCCACCATCATTAACCATCACCACCACCATCTCCAACATCA